CAGCCAGCCATGCTGGCTGGGGAATTCTGGGAGTTGAAGTCCACCCATCTTAAAGTGGCCACAGTGAGAAATGCTGATTTAGGCCATCAAGCCCAATACCCTGCTCAGGACAGGAATCCTAATTAAAGCATCCTCGAGGGATGGCTGTCTTGACTCCATATGAACAAATCCAACGAAGGAGAGTCCATCACCTCTGAATAATTGGTTCCACTGTCAAACTACTCTTACTGTTAGGATGTTTTTTCCACCATTTACAGAATCTGCCTCCCTGTAACTTAAATCCACTTTTCTGTGTCCTGCGCTTTAGAATCAGAGATAACAGATCTTGCCTCTGACCTTCTTTGATATGTCATCCTTTCAAGTATTTGAAATGTGCTGTCATCTCTCTTCTCAGTCATCTTTCCCTAAGGCTAAAGGGCCTTCAATTTTTCATCATTCAATAGTTTCCCATCTCTTGACCATCTTTGTTTCCCTTCTCTGAATCCATTTCAATGTGTCTGAATCCAGAACTAGACTCTGTATTTCAAGTGGGATCTGACCTGAGCAGAACAGAGGGGAGTGATTGCTTCCTGTGATTTGAAAATTATACTTCAAAACTTTAGAATTAGAAGAACACAATCTGAGATTTGGATGACATGGTTTTCTATGGTACAATAAAGTTAAGGTTAATGTAGATTTTAAGAATCATTATATTAGAAGTGCCACATGGATGACATGGTTTTCTATGGTACAATAAAGTTAAGGTTAATGTAGATTTTAAGAATCATTATATTAGAAGTGCCACAGTGAGAAAATGGAACAGATATGAACATAGATTGTGCCCAAAAATGCCTTTATGGGTCTCAGCGCAAGAAGCATTTTATAGGAAAGAAACAGTAGGTAAGGAACAATTGTTAACTTATCAAGAGTTCTTAGGACAGGAACATGGAGAATATAAGATGAAATCCAAAGAGCAATTGGCTGCAGAAGGATTTAGTTTTCAATGGTTTTTGTATGCACAGTTAAGAGAAAGATTTAAGGTGGATAATAGGACATTTGGAACTGAGCAGCAGAAGACAGAATTTGAAGTTGAACTATCTACAAATGATGAACATATAATTGCTAACATGTATAAACATTTATTGAAATTTGAAATAGAAGAACAACAAGTGAAAGACTGTATGATAAAAGGGGCTAAGAACTTTGGACACAATATACTGAAGGAAAAGTGGGAAAATATGTGGTTAAAAGGTTTGAAATATACATTATGTTATAACTTAAAATAGAATTTTTATAAAATGATGTACCGTTGGTATATGGCTCCAGAAAAATTGTCTAGAATGTATAAAGGTACTTCGAATTTATGTTGGAAATGTGGACAACATGAAGAGTCATTTTATCATACCTAGTTGGCTTGTAAAAAAAGCCAGAAATTTCTGGGTTCAAATACATATAATGATACAAAGAATTTTAAAGATCAGCATTCAACTGAAACCAGAACTTCTCTTGCTGGGATTAATGGACAGTCAATTAGAAAAGAGCCAGGAAGATTTTTTTTTTAATATGATTACTGTTGTAAGACTATTATATGCGCAAAAATGGAAAGACTCTGAAATATCCACCATGGAGGAATGGTTGGTGAAGATGGCAGAATTAGCACAGATGGCAAAATTAACTTGCTTGATTAGAGAAAGATCAACAACTACATTTATCAGTAACTGGAAAGCCCTTATGGACTTTTAGCTGAAAAAAGAGAAAAATGAAAAATGTGATTTATGGGTTTGATTTAAAA